GATAGAGACGCACCATGGACAGCCGTATATGTATCCTTCTCAGCAGCACCCCATGTCCGTCAACTATGTAACTCAGCCGTCAAACTTTGCAGCACCACAGTATTATCCACAGCAGTATGTGGAATCACCCCCACAGCACCCCCAGCAGTATGTGGAGCCACCCCGACAGCATCCTTATCCGTTCCGCCAGTCCCGTCCTTCACGAGCCAGACAATGTTTCCATTGCCAGCAGCGCAATGCAGAGGAACCTTGCACCCATTGTTACCATTGTGGAAGCAGCGAGCACTTCTCAGCTGGCTGTGAGACTAAAGGTGCCAGACCTCAGCGTGGAGCTCCGTTAAACAGGAGCGGGTTACCCCCAAGGGACAGGGTGTGACCCGAGCGGCAGAGAAGTCCCCAAAACATGAGCAATGTAGCACTGGCCATCAGAGACAGTTTGAGTCCCAGTCACTTGATAGTACGCTTAATAGTATTTTAACTGCCCCTTGTCAAGTAAACCAGCATTCTGCCATCACGTCCTTAGTGGGAAAACAGTGCCTTGTTACTTGTTATCTACAGGAAAAAAAAACTGAAGCATTATGGGATACAGGCTCCCAAGTATGCATCATAGACGAGAAGTGGAAAACCAAACATGCACCCGAAGTGACATTGAGAAATATTTCCGAGGCGACTGAAGCACCAGACAGTCTGCGCCTGGTGGCAGCAAATGGAACAAACATGCCATACAGTGGATGGGTGGAGTTGACTTTCAAACTGGCATCCCCTGTAACCAATGAGAAAGAGTTAAACATTCCTGTGCTTGTTTTGAAGGGCCAATAATTGCCCAGACCTATCGTTGGGTATAACGTGATAGAACAAATAATGAGACAAAGCGGAAGTGGATCCCTTGATGTGACTAATGCTTGTCAAGTCAAGTCAAGTCACATTTATTTATATAGCGCTTTTCACAATACAGATTGTATCAAAGCAGCTTCACACTGATAACATGAAAGTAGCACAACACAGGATCAACAACATTGCTAAACACTAAATAATCCCAACTGAGCAAGCCCAAAGCAAGCCAAAAGCAAGGCGACAGTGGCAAGGAACCAAAACTCCATCAGATTGGATGGAGAAAAAACCTTGGGAGAACCCAAGGCTCAGTCGGGGGCCAGTTCTCCTCTGGCTTACATTCATATTGTTTAAATATAAATATTAAATATAAATATTGTTTATGAATAAAACGGCGCCATAACATATCGCAGGCGTTGAGTCGTCTCATCACAGGCGTTGGGGCATCCGAAATCCCCGTGAGAGGCTGGACACAAAACTGGACCTGACGAACACCATTTTTCTCGGGACAAGCGTCCCGAGATAACAGCAGAAAGGCAGATGGGAAATAATTAGCATAGCTGATGTTCATAATGATTTCCGTTATATGGGAGTCGGTGTTAGAAAACCACTATCTCACAAACTCTCCGTAACCTGAACTCTCCGCAACCCAACCATACGCGCCGACCCGTTTGTCTGAAAGGCTGTCGAGCCCCACTGGTGCGTTAAGCAGTTTCAGTGGCAAACGGTTCCGTATGGCATAACAGACGACTAAAAGGTAAGCATTATGTGAATGCTTGACTAAAGAGAAGCGTCTTTAATCTAGTTTTAAACTGTGTCAGCGAGTCAGAGGCTCGGACCGTATCGGGAAGGCCATTCCAGAGTTTTGGAGCTAAATGCGAGAACGCCCTCCCTCCTTTACTGGACTTCGATATCCTAGGAATGACCAGAAGCCTTGAATTTAGTGATCTTAATGAACGCGGTGGATTGTAGGGTGAAAGAAGGTCCGTTAAGTACATAGGAGCTAAACCATTTAGGGCTTTATAGGTCAGTAGTAGTATTTTGTAGTTGATGCGGAACTTAATAGGTAACCAGTGTAGAGATGATAAAATCGGTGTTATATGATCATATTTTCTTGACCTAGTAAGAACTCTAGCAGCTGCATTTTGTACTAACTGTAGCTTGTTTATTGAGGATGCAGGACAACCAGCTAATAAAGCATTACAGTAATCTAGTCTGGAGGTCATGAATGCGTGAACTAATTTTTCAGCATCAGAAATAGATAGCATGTTACGTAGCTTAGCAATGTTTCTAAGGTGGAAAAAGGCTGTTCTTGTAACATATGAAATATGATTTTCGAACGACAAGTTGCGGTCTAGTATAAAACCCGCTTGTCTGTACAAAACTGTCAGAAGTGCTTTCCCTAGCATAAAGAAGAAAAGTGTACATACCTTCATCAATTTGGTGACTGCTGAGAGGCTCAGCGAGTACGTAGTAAGAACCAGGAAGGAACCTGTGAACATAGAGAAGCACACCATTATGCAAATTCAGTGTCTGGTAAAAATGCCTCACATGAAACAAGATACAGTGCTACAATTTGAGCCACACGTTAACCCGATGTATCCAGATGGCCTTGAACTCTTCGACACTCTCTTCCTTCTGGAAAAAGGGGCCCGCCCAATAATTACTATGAATGTGCAGAATGGAACAGATCACGACATCACGCTCGGGGGTAGAACAGAGCTAGGAATTCTGCAGCCAGTTAAATCTGTTTTACCAATATCAAATGCACAGTGTGAAGCCACAGCATCTGTTACACAGATCCTACCAGAGATCACTGAGGCATCTCCCAATTCAGATCGATGGGACCCTCCAGTGGATGTGAGCCATTTAACTCCGCCCCAACAACAAGAAGTCAAGAGGATGCTACGTGAAGAGTGTCACGCCTTTTCGAGGTCAGATGACGATATTGGCTGTGTCCCAGGTTTGCATTTGAGTATTGTACTAAATGATAACACCCCTGTTGCCCGCACATACACATCAGTCCCCAAACCGTTATATCAAGAGATGAAGGACTACTTACATGACCTGATTGCTCAAGGGTGGGTGGCCAAGTCTCATTCCCCTTACTCGTCCCCGATTGTCTGCGTCCGTAAGAAGGATGGCAGCCTCAGGCTATGTATCGATTACAGGGACCTGAACAGCAAAACAATCCCTGATCGCCAGCCAATACCCAGGGTGCAGGATATCCTGGACGGGCTGGGAGGTAATGCGTGGTTCTCACTGCTAGATCAAGGGAAGGCCTACCACCAAGGTTTCATGTCCCCAGAAAGACAGTACCTGACTGCATTCGCCACCCCGTGGGGACTATACGAATGGATTCGTATTCCTTTCGGCCTTATGAATGCGCCTGCAGCGTTCCAACGGTTTATGGAAGAGAGCCTGGAGGGGTTAAGAGACAAAATTTGCATACCGTACTTAGACGACATCCTAGTCTTCACTGAGTCCTTCGATGAACAAGTGGAAGCGGTGAGGAAAGTGGAGTCAAGTTAAAACGAAGAAAATGTGAGCTCTTTAAGAAAGAGGTGCGATATCTGGGGAGAATTGTGTCAGCTGAAGGCAGTCGTATTGATCCCGCAGACACCGTCGCTGTAACGGCACTGAAGGAACAGACACCAAGCACGGTGGGGGAACTACGCAAGATTTTGGGCCTGCTCAGCTATTATCGGCAATACATTAAAGACTTTTCCAGAATTGCCAGTCCCCTCTATGACCTGCTTAAAAGTAACACGGAAGGTGCTGGACCTCAGAGGAAGGAGAGACACAAAGCAAGAAATAACAAACGAAATCATGTGGTGCCATCGAGTAAATTAATTGAGTGGACAGAAGAACATCAGGAGATACTAGAAAAGTTGGTTGACTGCTTGACTCAACCTCCGATCCTTGGATTCCCAGACTTCTCTCAACCGTTCATCCTTCATACGGATGTGTCCAACCAAGGGTTGGGAGCTGTTTTATACCAGCAGCAGAATGGCAAGTTGAGAGTAATTGCCTATGGTTCTCGGACTTTGACGGCAGCTGAGAAAAATTACCATCTGCACAGTGGGAAGTTGGAATTCTTAGCTCTGAAATGGGCTATCACTGAAAAGTTCAGAGACTACCTGTACTATGCACCAACCTTCACAGTTTTCAGTGATAATAATCCATTGACCTATGTCTTGACCACTGCAAAGTTGAACGCCGGTGTAGGTGGGTGTCAGAGCTTGCAGATTTTCACTTCACTATCCGCTACCGTCCAGGTAAAGAAAACATAGATGCTGACCACTCTCCAGGATGCCAGCGGACCTGGAAATGACGATGAGAGAATGTACTGAGCAGTTTTCACCTGACTGTGTGGGAGCCGTGATCCAAGCTGTGGAGTCCCAAGGGACTCCAGATGTGAATTTCGTAGTAGTCTGTCAAAGTGTACTGGCAAGTGTGAAAAAAAAAATGAGGGACACCTCGAACCCCTGTCAAGAGAGGAAATCACACAAGCACAAAAGGATGACGAGGACATCAGAGTAATAAGTGAACACTTACAAGCAGGATCTAGACCTCCTCAGCAGTGGCGTTCAGTTAACTCGCCAGCCAAAGTTTTTCTGAGAGAGTGGGAAAAGCTGAAGTTAGACGAACATGGCATCCTATTCCGCCAGACATCACAAAGAAAACAGCTGGTGTTACCAACACAATTCAAAAGAACTGTTCTGAGAGAGATGCATGATGAGATGGGTCATCAAGGACTTGATCGCACCACAAGCCTCATTAGGGATCGTTTTTTTTGGCCCTACATGCAGAAAGACATTGAAAATTATGTTCTGAGAACCTGCTGCTGTATCAAACAGAAAAAACCCTGTCGTGAGACAAGAGCGCCTCTTAAAAATATCAAAACGACCCACCCATTTGAATTGGTGTCCATTGATTTTCTCTATCTGGACAAATGCAAAGGGGGCTATGAGTACATTTTGGTAATCGTCGACCACTTCACTCGATTTGCCCAGGCATATGCCACCACCTCAAAATCAGCAAAGACAGTGGCTGACCGGTTATTCAATGATTTCGCCCTGAAGTTTGGGTTTCCATCTAGAATTCACCACAATCAAGGGGGAGAATTTGAAAATCAGCTACTCACCCAACTCAAAAAGTGCAGCGGCGTTGCCGGCTCAAGGACCACCCCCTACCACCCCCAGGGGAATGGGCAGGTGGAACGGTTTAACCGGACATTATTGCAGATGCTGAAAACCCTGACTGAAAGACAAAAAGCTAATTGGAAAGATGCATTGAACAAATTGATCTTTGCCTATAACTGTACTAGATGTGACGTGACTGGTTTCTCACCTTTCCAATTGCTGTTCGGACGCTCACCAAAGTTGCCCATCGATGCTCTCTTCGGGCTTGAATCCGACAATAACTGCCAAAGTTACAGTAAGTACATGGAGAGATGGACAAAAGGAATGCAGGAAGCTTGTGAGATTGCGAGAGAACAGGCAAACAAGTGTGCAGAAAGAAACAAAAGGAATTATGACCAACGAGTGAGGTGTACTGACCTGTTCCCAGGAAGCAGGGTCCTCGTAAAAAACCTGACTCTCAAGAGGTGGGACCGGGAAACTGAGAAATTTCTGGGAGGATGAGGTTCATGTTGTTACATGCCAGGTGGCAGATGGCGCTCCAGTCTACGAAGTAAAACCTGAACAGAGTAAAGGTAGATCACGAGTTTTACATCGCAATCTTCTCCTTCCATGTGACCATCTACCTCTAGAGATCACACCAGCCCCAAGTACTAAACCAAAACAAGGACAGCAACCAAGAAACGGAGGAACTCCGCTAAAGCCCGCCCGGGGAAGAGAATGTGAGTCAGAGGACGATAATGAAAGCGAAGAGGACGAATACTACTTTCAAGTGGAGCCCTTCCGGATGAGACCACAGGAAAGCAGTGATTGCCTAGAAAAAAGAAATGCGTTATTACCACAGTTAGTACCTTCTGAGCCTCGATCTAACTCTCCAGTGGTGGGACCAAGGCCACAGTCACTCCCAGCTGAGTCAGAGATGGATCTCCCAGAGTCTGTACCTGAAATAAGAAAAGGACCGAATGAAAATGAACCAACTGCTGACCTAATGCAACAAGACTCACCTGGTAGGGAAACAGCTGCAGTGCCTGGGCCCAGAGACAGGACCTCCGAGGGGGAAAACGGGTACCAGCTTACCAGGAGGAAACGACGACCGCCTAAAAAGTTTACCTATGACAATCTTGGGTCCCCATCATGCTACACTGTGCAGATAGTGGGCAACAACCACTACCCACACTTTGCATCTAGTGGATTGACCGCTGTGACACCCTGATCAACACCCCTTTGTCGCCCCCAGCAGTCATATGTGTGCTATTAACTTTAAATTGCACTCACATGAATTTCACCCCCATAACTAGTCCCTGTGTCTAAGGCGTGAAATGCCACTTTACAGGACATTACCCAGAGACTGTTATTGCCCATAGTGAGAAACTATTGCAAAAATGGACTAAAATGGACTGTTGTGCAGGTTTGAAAATGTGGACACTTGGGATCACTTTGAGACTTTCTTTTTGACCCTTTTTGAATCCCTTTCTTCCTTGAATATCTCTTTACAGTTTTTTTTTGTGCGAGGACAAATAACATGGACTGTTTTAGGGCTCTGAACACAGCCATGTTAAGCCGCCCTACGCTTCAAATGGACTGTTACACCATTTTCTATCCCATTGATATGGACTGAGAAAAAGAATGTAAAAAAATAAATGAAAAAAATGACAATGTATACAGAAATCAGATATTTGTTTAGTAACGCTACTAATTAGTACTGCATAATAAGTATCTATGGAAATATAAAGGGATTGTGAAATTGGAAAGTGTTTACATGTTGGGACGACATTTTATCCTGTAGGGGGGAGTGTAATAGTGAGTCCTATAGGCCTTTCTTTGCTTGTTAATTTTCTAATACTGTTAAGTATGGTTACAATGTTTATCTGTGCTTTATGCTTAAAAAGGAGTGTGTTTTATGGGCATTTATTCATATAAATAATTCCGCTTGGCATACCAGCGTGATGACGTCATCGCGTGCGTCGCATAGCAGGGCTCCAGACTAACTTTTTTTACTAGGAGCGCTGTTGCCCCTGACTGAAAATTTTAGGAGCGCAAGCAGAAAATTTAGGGGCACACCTTAAATCAGCTTGAAATGCAATTATTCAAATTTCCCCCAAAATAACTGTAATACTGACAAATTCTTTAATAATAAATAGACTTGACATTATGATATGCTGTTTATTTTAAGTTCACAGGGCTCCAGACTCAAAGTTGAGGGCAGCATCACCTCAAATGAGAACTCACAGCGAGTTCTACAAAAAAATAAAATAAAATAAAAATGTGGTAGCACGGAGGCTGACAATAAATCACTAAGCTTAATTTAGGGTGTAGATGAAAGTAGATGAAATTAACGTCTCGGTTACGTATGTAACCCTCGTTCCCTGAGTAGGGAACGGAGACGTTACGTCAGAAGTGACGGAGATTGGGGGATTTCGCATAGAAAGCCAATCCTCTTCGAGTATTAAAACACGAGCCAATGGCATGCAATGCCTTGGGGCTGCGGAAATTTGCATAGCGTACTCCGCCCTACTCCGTGAGTATAAAAGGAGGAAGTGAACGCAACCGCAGTATGTCTTCGCTGAGGAGCCAAGACTGAACTCGGCCTCTACCCAGCGATACAGCAGAAGTGGCAGGGAGACGTAACGTCTCCGTTCCCTACTCAGGGAACGAGGGTTACATACGTAACCGAGACGTTCCCTTTCGTAGTCACTTCGAGTTACGTCAGAAGTGACGGAGATTGGGGGTCTGTGCCATCACGCCATCTTCAAGCTGTCTTCCAGTGCCCTGCGAAAGACTGAACCCCCGAGCCTTACCTCTTTTTTTTTTTTTTTTTTTTGGGGATCCGACTTTGACACAGGATTACCAAGGTACACTGGGAAACATATCCCGAAGGGGACATGCTACCAGCTGCCTACCGAAGGGAGGACTTATGAATACACATATGGCCACATAGGAACGCATATGGAACACTGGAGTACCAACCGCAGGTGGCTACTGATTTAAACTCCAGGGGTGGCAGATGGCTTGCCAAGGGAAGACACATGCTCAGAGAGGCTTACAGTGGATAATACACATGAGACGGTTACCATGGGGAACCGTGCGCATGGAGGCACCTAGCTAGCATCCAGAGCAACGCAGTGGTGCCCGCATCGTCGGTGCTGGAGGACTCAAGACTTCAATGGAAGAACTGAGGAAATATCGCACTTATCCAGTCCGGGGAGTGGAGTGGCGAGCAAGCGAAGACACCTGAGCGGATCCAGAACTGGCCGAAACGAGTACGTGAGAGGATACCGGCTCAATTCGCAGATTATAGAATCTGGCGAAGGTGTTGGGTGTCGCCCAGCCTGCAGCTCTGCAGATGTCTGTTAGCGAGGCGCCGTGCGCTAAAGCCCAAGAGGAGGCTACACTCCGAGTGGAATGGGCCGTCACACCAAGGGGGCACGGAAGGCCTTGCTGCTGGTAAGACAAAGCAATGGCATCCACTATCCAGTGGGACAGCCGTTGCTTTGAGAGAGCCCTTCCCTTCTGGCTCCCTCCATGACAGACAAAGAGCTGGTCTGAGGTCCTGAAACACTGCGTTCTGTCGACATAGGTGCGGAGAGCACGTACCGGACAGAGCAGTGCCAAGGCTGGGTCTGCCTCCTCCGGGGGCAGCGCTTGCAGGTTCACCACCTGGTCCCGGAAGGGAGTGGTGGGAACCTTGGGCACATATCCAGGCCGGGGTCTCAGGATCACGTGAGAGTAAGCCGGCCCGAACTCCAGGCACGCTTCGTCAACGGAGAATGCGTGCAGGTCCCCCACCCTCTTGATGGAGGCCAATGCAACCAGGAGTGCTGTCTTCATGGACAGAAACTTTAACTCTACCGATTGCAAAGGCTCAAAGGGATGCCTCTGCAGAGCACTTAAAACTACCGAGAGGTCCCAAGAGGGTACGAGGGGAGGACGAGGCGGATGCAGCCTCCTCGCTCCCCTCAGGAACCTGATGACCAGGTCGTGCTTCCCTAAGGACTTACCTTCCACTGCTTCATGAGAAGCGGCAATGGCCGCGACGTAAACCTTAAGGGTGGAGGGCGACAGCCTGCGCTCCAACCCTTCTTGCAGGAAGGAAAGCACGACACTGATCGAACATCTCCGGGGGTCTTCTCCGCGAGAAGAGCACCAATTGACGAAGAGGTTCCACTTCAACGCATAAAGGTGTCTCGTGGACGACGCTCTTGCGGAAGTGATGGTTGCCGCCACCGCAGGTGGCAGCGAACTCAAACCTGCCTCGTCCCGTCCAGGAGCCACACGTGCAGCCTCCAAAGATCGGGACGAGGGTGCCACAGAGTGCCCCGTCTCTGAGAGAGTAGGTCTTGTCTCAGAGGAATAGGCCAAGGAGGTGCTGTCGCGAGGAGCATGAGATCGGAGAACCACGTCTTGGTGGGCCAGTAGGGGGCTACCAGCAAGACCTGCTCCTCGTCCTCCTTGATCTTGCACAACACCCGTGCAAGGAGGCTCACTGGGGGAAACGCATACTTGCGTGGGCCCCGTGGCCAGCTGTGCGCCAGCGCATCCGAGCCGAGAGTGCCGCGGGTCAGAGAATAAAACTGGGCGCAGTGGGACGAGTCCCGAGAGGCGAACAGGTCTATCTGTGCCTCCCCGAACTCGTCCCAAATCAGCTGGACCGACTGGGGATGGAGTCGCCATTCGCCGGAGAGGGGACGGACCCGGGACAGCTCGTCGGCCGCCCAGTTCCGGTCTCCAGGAATGTACACTGCACGAAGGGACCTCAGGTGCTTCTGACTCCATATCAAGAGGTGGCGGGCGAGCTGCGACAACTGGCGTGAGCGTAGACCCCCCTGGTGGTTGATGTACGCTACTGCCGTAGTGTTGTCTGAGCGGACAAGCACATGCTGGCCCTTGAGTAACGCTCGGAAGCGGTGTAGGGCGAGCCGTACTGCCAACAGCTCGAGGCAATTGATGTGCATGAGGCGCTGGGCTCCTGTCCAGGAACCGGCGGCTGCATGCCCATTGCACATGGCACCCCAACCCGTGGTAGATGCATCCGTGGAGACAACGAGATGCCTGGAAACTCGCTGAATAGGGACGCCGGTCCGTAAGAAGCTGAGGTTCGACCACGGGAAGAAGGTTCGCCGGCATGCCGGAGTCACTGGGACTCGGAGCGAGCCGCGATGCCATGCCCACCTCGGGACTCGATCGCGAAGCCACAGCTGAAGCGGTCTCATATGAAGCAAACCGAGCGGCGTTGCCGCGGCCGCGGATGCCATATGCCCCAGGAGCCTCTGAAATAGTTTCAGTGGAACCGCACTCTTGCCCTCGAACTGTCGAAGACAAGTCAGCAGTGAGTGCGCGCGCTCGTTCGTGAGCTGCGCGGACATGGCGACCGAGTCTATCTCCACGCCGAGAAAAGAGATCCTCTGCACGGGGCAAAGTTTGCTCTTTCCCGGTTGACCCGAAGGCCCAGACGGGCTAGGT